TTCATTTCATTGTTGCTAAACAGCAACGATAGAATAAAGCGGCGATAACATTTTATTTTCCCAATGAACCAGAAAAACACGAAAACCCCTTGTAATGACTAACAATTACCTAAAATAAGTGGATATATAAACACTCGACACTGAAGCTGATAATGTTTGTTCTGCTGGATACAAACTACCTGAAGGTGTTGGATCAGACATTGATATCATGTCGTGTTTTCGCATACTAAGAAACATTTATTGTGTCATAACTAACCCTCGGTGGAAAGTGTTTAATAAAAAATTTAAGCGGAATTTCAGATTCATGATTGATGAAAATATACTTCCATCTTGGAAATGAGTAGGAAAAATATATTAACTGGCAAGTGTATTTAAGATAAAAAAAAATCGATGTAAAACATGATGCAAGTTATGAACAGAGTACGGCAACCTTCTCCCTGGTAAAGAAAGATTTACTTGTGAATCTGTGATGTTATCGGTTCTAAATCACAGGGTTCTCGAATCTTAATATATATTTACTGAGAAGATTGACATTCGATATGTAACACTTGGAGGAGGTCTGTGATAGTGAACGAATGAGGAATCATTCGAGAATGCGTTGCTCAGTCATGAAGATATGGTCTTCTCCTGTTTGTGTATTAAGAAAATTACTCTCTACCCAGCCCAAAATATGTTCTACATAAGTATTAAATGCTAGATTGCTGGTTATCAACGTAAGAAGAGTTAGTGTAGACAATGATGTGACTTCCATGTAAGATCTTATAGATTAGGTAGTAACATCATGAAAAATCTACAATTTTGGGGTTAGTCCTATCATAATTGTAACAGGGATAAATTTACTAATAGCGCAGTAGACCATAATGCCACAAACCCAGACTCGTACGATTTGTAACTTTACACTAATAAAAGCCTCCATTACTAAAATTCAACACTATTTTGACAGGTTAACAGTACATATCTCAGTATGATTATGGATAATTTCTTATGAGTCCTTACACAGTGAAGGAAAATAATTATTACAATACTTATAATCCCAAAGTACACCGGATAAGACGCAATCCAACGACGCTAATACATAGGTTCCTTACAAAGAGGAGCTTAAAGACAAACTAAAAAGCTATAATGAATGGGAGAAACGATATAGGTGATTGTGAGGAAAGATAGAAAAACGTTGAGCTTTTTGGAGACCTTCTAGATAAGGATAATTGCCTCACGCTGGACAGCGTCACGATGACACCACGATACTTGACAGAATGCATCCAGCTAGTAGCGTCCATTAAGATTAAAAAGTTCAACGTCATTATTGAGTATTCACATAACCAACTCTTTCTTACAGAGATCCACCACTGAAAATCTAACAAAGGAAGTTAAGATGCTCTAAAAGTATTAACAGAACTTCACATTGACTTTGACAAAATTATTCCCCTTGAATATCCTCTACAGTAGTAAGTTTAGTGTAAACCTAATGCCAGAATTCTAATAAAGAATTTAAATATTAGATTTTACTAGTACTAGCAGCATTTTGAGCGTTTTTTCGGAACGCATTAGACGAAAACTTATAACATTTTTCTTACTGATGTAAATCACCAACTTAATTGGTCTGTGATGATCAACGAGGGCCTACTTTAATTGGACGAGAATGACGTGGCCTCCCAGTCTATGTCAAAGTCACATCACACGGTAATGTCTAATATTTATTTCCCTTCCGTCTTATTCGGGCACTATAGCTACTTTGGTTACAGTTTAGCCCAATAAATGTTATTTCAGAAACATGTTGGCAAGAATAGATAGAAAAAATGGGGGGGGGGGGCTAAAACTGCCTCATGCTTCTGTCCATAGAGTACAATTGATTGGTGCACATTCATTGTCCTTAACCTTTTGGAGAATCGGAAAACTGTTCTGTATTCAACCACCTGACTGCCGGATGTTTTGGCATACTTCATTTATTCTATCTAGTAATGTACTTCAACCCAATGGCGGTCCATCGATGCTAAACACAAGAAAATGTTCAGCAAAGCTTCATCTATTCCATTATTTACAATTTGGAAATATTTTTGGACAGGGCCTACCAATTCGACAAAACTTATATAGGTGGATTACCTGTCCACTCACATAAGGCTCTCATAGACAAACAGGAAGAAGCTCACGCGTTTCAAATTGAAAGCATTAACTACTTATGCATGAACGCCGACAGTCTACCAAATAAAATGGATGAACTAAGTGAACTTAGCAACGCTAATAAGGTTCACCTGATAGGAATACCTGAAACTTGGATATCTCCTCAGTATTCGGACCAGGAGCTAGCAATACCTGGGATGTCTCTGTTTCGCAATGACAGAAAAACAGGAAGTGGGGGTGGAGTAGCCCTATACATACGATCTGGCTTGGAGGTACACCAAGTCCACAACCATGAGTTTGACAATCTTGATGAATCCATATGGTGTTCTATGAGATTGTCCACTACTTCGAGGTGCCTAGTCGGAGTCATATATAGGAAGCCCACTGCCGACATCGAGTATCACAGTCGCATGCTGGAAGGACCATCCCGCTCTGCGCGTCTCGGTTTCACTCATATCCTGATTCTAGGGGACTTCAATCTCCCTCGAGTCAACTTCACGGAACATACGTATATTGGAGGTGAAAATTCAATTGAAGCTCGGTTCTTTAACCTCATTGAGGATTCGAGATTATACGAAAATGTGAAGTCGGCTACTCGTTGGAGGAACAGTCAGAGACCGTCGCGCTTAGACTGTGTTTTTACAAACGAAGAATTTATAGTTGACAACCTCTCAATTCTGCCCCCTCCTTGGGGAAAAGCGATCACGCCGTTATAGCCCTCAGTTTTGTCAGCAAAACTGAGCTAAGATATCCCAACAACAACAAGTGCTGGAATTCCAAACTGTTGAATGTGTCAGCTCTACATGACTATCTACAACAGGTGGATTGGGATTTTCACACTAAACTTGATGTGGATGCTTATTGGGACCTCTTACTGCACACGCTCTTATGTGCTACAAAGCAGTCAGTTCCTCAAACGTTCCCAAAAAGCCACAAGAAGTCTACAATCATTAAAAACCGCACTCTTCGTTTGTTAAGCCGTAAAAGGCACTGTTGGACAGAATACAAACGAACTGACAACAGCGCCTACAGGCAATACAAACATATAAGGAACATATGCACGAAGGCTATAAGAGAAAACAGGCTTCAGGACCAGACATAGCTTATGGATAAACTTATTTCCGATCCGAAAAGCTCATTCCGCTACGCAGCCTCTCTTCGTCAAGCCAAAACTGGAGTTTCTCTATTGCTAGGTCCTAACGGCCCGACCCGTAACGATGGTGACACCGCTAAACTTCTGGCTGAGCAATTATCCCGGACATTTCAACCGACCCACATTAACTATACTGATGAAAGATTCATCTGCAACTGCACAGGTTTTCCCGTAGTGAACCTGAGCACTGACTTGGTGTTCCAAAAACTGCAACATCTAAGAACAGACAGTTCTCCTGGCCCAGATATGGTCCATCCTGCTATACTGATGGAAGCAGCTTCAATCCTGGCGACACCGCCTAGCGTGTTGTTCTCACACTCGCCAAGTCGAGGCAAACTACCGGATATTTAGAAGCTGGCTCATATCAAACCAACCTTCAAAGGAGGTCGACGCAGCGAACCTTCAAGTTACCGACCGGAAGGGTTAATCTTGTATAACCGACCTGCTGACCGCGGTGGTCAGATGGACAAGCATCGTTGATCTCAAGGGGAAGGTAGACATCATTTACCTTGATTTCTCTAAAGCTTTTGATAGGGTTAACCACATATGTCTTATTAACAAGCTCAAACAATTGGGTATCAAACCACCTTTAATTGACTGGCTCAGTTCATATCTGACAAATCGACATTTTAAGGTCAGGGTAAACTTCAATTTATCACAGGCTATGGAATGTCCTAGTGGGGTCCCCCAGGGCTCAGTACTAGGACCTCTTCTCTTCCTGATTTATAAATGATCTTCCTCAACAGGTAACGTCAGACATATTGCTCTTTGCCGATGACGTGAAACTTTGGAGAGAGATACGCAACCAAGAGGACATACAGGCACTTCAGGAGTATCTGACTTAAATTCAAAGTTGGGCAGACGATAACGGACTTACCTTTAACACATCAAGGTGTAAAGTAGTTCATCTGCGATACGTCGCAGATTACAGTTACAACTTAGGAAACTCCTCTCTAGTAGTATCCCGAGTCGAAAAAGATTTAGGAGTTCTGGTGCCCTACGACTTAAAGTCTTACGCCAACTGCGACAGAAATGCCTTTCGAGCAAACCTGGCACTGGTAACATTGAAGCTCCATTTCGGTCAGTTTGACAGGAGAACTTTCCACATAATCTTCAATAGTTTCATTCGTCCCCACTTAGAGTACGGAAACATAGTATTCCCTCATGCACTCAAAAAAGATGAGGACACTCTGGGGCGTATCCAACGGCGAGCCACGAAATCAGTTCGGGTACTCAAATTTAAACCTTATGAAGGGCGCCTCCAATCACTCGACCTTTACTCATTAGAGTATAGGCGTCTTGGAGGTGACCCTCTAATGGTTTACAGTATCATTGACACTTCTGGACATCCTCTTAAACATCTACTTAAGCTTAGTCCCAACACTAACCTAAGGGGTAACACCCAGGAATTAGAGACACAACATAGTAGAACGGACTGCAGAAACAACTTCTACTCCTTAAGAGTTGTTAAATGCTGGAATTCGCTGCCAGCTGATCTAGTCCAAGCAACTTCCCAGGAGTCCTTTAAGAGGCGACTTGATCTATTCTTAAGGACTAAGGATAGTATCTTACTATGATTTACCAATTTATTTTTTTCTCTTTTATCGTTAATATACCTAGGTTCTTGCCTGGATGTATTGGTGATCCCCTGCTACTAGACACGGAAGCCTGTTGAGCGAAAGCTTCTTCTATTCCGTCCACAACCATTTGAACGATTTGAACTGGTGTAGGTCATTTGTCGCGCTCAAAATGGATTTACGTTACATCAGGGCTACTTTTAAGCTGTAAAGTTGTAACTCGTTTGAAACCTTACAATGTCACCTAGTCTTGACTATCAGATTGTTTTAAGCTCACTCTTGTGATATCCCTGATTGCTTTCAACTAGTTACGTTATTAAATGTAGTTTCATTCTGTGTGGTTACTGGGTCAATTACTCACTTGTCTTATTCTTTTCTGTTCTAGATAGTTTAACATAATACTCCTCAAACTCTCCAAGCGCACAAGATATCTTCCAGCCATACTCACACTTACCAAAAGCTGATCGTGACAACCTAGACCAAGGCTAGATCTCGTCACGGATACATGTAAATGACCTGCGTGTTTTTTTTCACGGGGAATTTCAAGCATTACCCTTCTTTAGTTTTCAGTAGCAAGATTCGACAATTTATTCTCGTGTTAAAGCACTGGCATTTTGCTAAGTCCAGTCCGTGTGAAGCATCTTCTAAGATTAATGCATAACGAAGTAAAGTATGTTGATATTTGTTGATACATCACATTTCCTCAGATCGCAAAGGTTCTGTGGATATAATCTGAAGTTAAAACTCGAAGGAGTTACTACCGTGTCACCCGCCTAACCTTTAAATCACCACTTTAGGATATCGTTTGCTTAGTCTTATACCTTAAATTACGATAATTACATTAGTGGTGAGACTATAGTTTATGGACGACCTTTGAGCGACGCTAGATTGACCTTGAGGATGTGCACCGACTAACCAGAGCTAAATGAGGGCTATAAACCAGTGTGGTGAATTAGAAACTTGATTTACAGTTAATAGTTAGGGTTAGGAATTAAATTTGAGGTTTTCATCACAAATTGACGTAAGGTAAAACGCTTTTTATGCAAATGGATTGTCGAATCATGCGTTAACTTATGTATGATTGGTTCGTTCATAAATTATAGTCTCTCCACATTAGCTGTACAAGTTCAGTACGCTGGTTTCTAGTGCTGGTTATTGTTAGTGATATGTGCGCAACACTGTTGATGTAATAATACTGATTAAAATATGTTCATCCCTATTAACACAATCGTAATGAATGGTAAAATCAGTTTTATTTAGTCCCCTTTTGTTTTTTTCCAGCTACTGCTTATTCCAGTCCAGAAGCTTTCCTTAAACATACCATATATATGAAGTCAGATGAAAGATGTCTTATTTTTAAACATTTCCCACCTGAAATAGCTGAAGATGAATGTGTTACTTTTTTAAAATCCCTGGGGGCAACCACGGCTCAATATTTCGGATGTTCTGGTTCTCTCAAACATGTAATGTATACCCGTTATCTGTTTCATTCTAATTCAGACTTAGTGCGCCTATGCGGAGTTCGCATCTGAACAGCATGCTTGGAATATCATTAAAAATCTTCACCAAAAGAAAATACTGGATCGGCGTCTTTCAGTTGAATTCATCCAATCTGCGGAAGGGTAAGGACGACGTTCTCTAAATCTTCTTTAGATTATCTTCAGTTAATATCCAAAAGACTGATCCAGACAAATCCAAAAAAGAATGTCTTCCCGTAACCATGAATGCTTTTTCTGCTATGTGGGATGCATCTTTCGAAGCTTCTTCACGAATGTACTATGAATATCCTGTTGCATCCATTGAAGTACTGACAAACATTGTGCGATCGTTGGCTTCTTGCCCAGCATTTTATAATCAGGTAGGCAAAAGTGAAAGCAGTTTTATGTGTTCTTTGATCAGGATTCTTGGATGCATCTACGCAACAGTTTAGAGTTCTGCAAAACCCTTAAGTTTAAAGACATGCTCTAACCAACGTACATCTTTGTGGTTTCTTCATAATAGTTCAGTAGAATTACTTTGTAGTACATAACCTCCAATATTGCCTCTATTTAAACGGTTTTACTGATATACGTGTAATATCACATATTAGTTAAACTTTAAACTATAACAGACTTGAGAGTCCGAGTAAGCTAGTCGTAATCAGCGTAGAACCTGGCACGAGTGCATTAATCCATGTTTTCACATCACATCAGGACAACAAGATTAAACTAAAGAAAATTAAGAGCAAATGAGTTAAAGTAGTAGTATAATGGTTAATAATAACGATTAGGTGAAATCGCTGGGTAAAATGTTTGAAGTAATATCCAAACTAACAACCTAAAGGGTAGTAAGGAACCGATGCATCTGAGCTACCTCAACTGATTCTTCGCCTTATTTTCTAAAGTCTTTAATCTTTGATCTCGATTATCGCCCAGATTCTAACCAGGTGACCCTCATATCTCAATCTAGCTGAAATCAATAGTCAGTAACTTTACGGACTGATGCCATGTGTGAGAAAACTAGGTCCACATAGAAATAACCTTCATAGTGTTTGATTAACAATTAGGTCACGTAAATTTGCTGAAATATATATCAAATTTATTCCCCTTTCGCTACTTAACCATAAAGCGCATTTTAAACTAATAGGTATGTTTTCTGATGCTAGTAATTTATTAAACCTCATGTCTTGAAACTTTTTTATCATCTTCTCAAGACGCATATTATAAGTTTATTCTGAATTGATAGTGTTTTCGCGTCATCAACCAGAACTAGCCATTTCTAATATAAATAAGTTGTTTCATTAAACATCCTAAAGTACTTCAGAAGCCTTTAATCTTAGAACATTAAGTTTGAGCCGGTAGACTTGAACATATGATACTGTCCTCCGATCTAGATGGTTTCATCGTCACTCTGAATAGCACCGTTGGCGTCTACTTCCTGTAAAGCCGCCCATGATGTTATACAGAATGATACTAAACCCTCTGGATTTTAATCATCTAGCTCAAAGAACATACCACCACCGAAGCTGGAAATCTTTATTTTAAGAACTTACACATTTTTTCTCATTACTTCTCTTTAGTATTTCCAAAACACCTTGGGAACTTCAATGTAGTCCCTCTATTTGTGTGTTATTTACTAAGATTGTTTCAGTGGATTATATTATATGGTTGTAGGATCACGATCAAAATAATGACTGACAAAATACGTCTTAAAGGCGAATCATGTACTGTATTCACCGCTTAGTCGAATGACTAGATCATATATATTTGCGATTCTTGTTTCTTTATCAACTAACGGCAATTATTATAAAATGACTGACTTTGACTAAAGCCTGTAAAGCCTACTCAATCTCTTTTATTTATTTAGACACATAAACATTGGTACAAGGATGCACCACACAAATCATTCTTTTTGTGTAATAGCTGGGATACTGCCCAGGTGCCCAAACAGAAGCATGTGGTTTTCTCAGGGAGTCACACTCGAAGCCTTCGACCTAAAGGTTTGATCTACAAGGCAGTGGAGCAACGTAGAGAGATGCAGCCCCATGGTAGCCGGTGGCCAAGAATAGGTTCATACGCCATTTGCTCCTTCAGGATCCTGGAGCCCATGTGCACCACTGGTTTGGAATCAGGGTTTTCCAACTCCCCTAGGTGGACTCTCTGTTTCCACTACCTCGGTTAAAACGCCGGACATTCGCTTTTCCCACATGTTCTTTTAAGTTATGTTGACTAGTTTAGAAGCTCCTCATTACTCATAAATATATGATATATGTGGAACGTTAAATTGTGCCTGTTTATCCTAATTTGGGCTGACTAAACCCATTCACTGATAGATTCTTTCACGGTAGCACTCTTCTGTTAATAGTCATGAAGTCCAAAAAAATTAGTGGCAATTTAGCACACTAATTTATGTTGGAACCTTGATTATACATGCAGCACACAGAAATCATGGATTATTGTCAAGATGCTTCTAGAGGGAAATATTTCTTTTCACCAGTGAATAACTTTTGTCCTGAAAATCAATTAAAATTACGTGACAGTCACTTATCACTATTCGCGGTAATATTTGCACATTTTTCTACAGGTACTCCACATAATGAACAAACTCCATTTACCACCACCATTTGAAGATCCAGAACAGTTCCCTGGGGATTATCTAGTCATTTCTGCTTCAGATTATGCGAAAATGCAAACGCTGATAGATAATATCCAGCGCTTGTCAAAAGAGGAAAATAATGATTCAGGTTCAGTTTCAGAAGAAATGGATTTATCTAGTGGACCGGAGTCTGAACTCGCTTCTGGTAAAGTTGTGATTTTACTTTATGTTTTCTTCAGACGATGAAAAAAAAGCAACTCCTTGTGCACAAAAAAGTATCTCAGTGAGAAGACGTTTCAAAGTCCGCAAAAAACACCCTACTGTATTACCTAGTCGTCTTCCTAGGACTTCCAAACGTAAAAACGTTGATGTTGCTGATTTATTCGAAGCACACCAAGCTGCTAAAAAGTTAAACTTGCCAAAGATTCTTAACGTTAATTCTCAGCGTGACCATAGTAATTCACTTGATGAATCTGAAGGTGGATTCGGACTTATCCATACAGAGACTAAAATAGAAAGACGGCATTTTCTTGACAAATCAACCCAGAATTCTCAGCAAAACCATGCATCAATCTTCTCTAATTTCCAGCTCCGTAAAGGTAAGGAAGATTTTATGGAGTCTTGTCATGGTATTAGCTAGGTATATACACTTACTTTAGCTTCAGATGTTCGGTTATGCAATGTGGAGTGACTAGATCTTCAAATGATGTGAGGTAGGACAAGATTATGTTTTGCATTACTTATGTGTAACTGATACAAAGCCGTATTGAGCATCGGGTTACACAAGTTAGATAAAAAATGATTTGAAATATGCAAAATACCTGATATATTTGGACAGGAGTTATCCCTTGAATCGTATGGACGATTTGTTTTCATAAATTTTTCTATCCTGCTTATCATTTTTTCTTCGCAGAACAATTTTCTGATGAAGAACATGAAAACCTGGAAGATTTAATTCCACTACCATCACAACCACCTTCGAGTAGTGAAAATATGACAAATGTCACTGATAATAACCCGTCTAATTTCGTAACAGTACTGTCCCTTAATGAAATCATATCCAATCGTCTAAAAAATGAAGATCGCAAAAATTATCCAGTATTTGCTAAATATGATACTGGAACTACCACCTCTCGTCTGTATGTCAAAAATTTATCTCAAACGGTTACAGAAACCGATTTGTTTGCAATATTTGGGGTATTTTCAAATGGACCTGTGAATGACAGTAGTTGCAAACCAAGGGTTCCGTTGGACTCAACAGAGTGTTTCTCAATAAGACTTCTGACTGAAGGTCGAATGAAAGGTAAGTAAAAGATGATGTTATGCTTTATTTTACTTTCTAACCCCGTTTTGTGTTGTGTTGAATTCTTTTGTAAGTTAGTTGTATACTCTACAGTTTTTATTTAGTTGTAACAAATAATAGCAAGCGGAGTCGATCTGATTCAGTAAATGTTCTTCAATATATAACCACATGGTTGATTTAAGAAATCCAGTTGTTGTTACCGTCAGATTTTTGATGCGTAAGAGTAGCGAATAACAATATACCTGCATTTATTACTAGCAATTCTAAGAAATCAGTATACCACACTATCTTTTTCATTCCATTTCACAATATATGCCTAAAATCTATTGTTTTTCTCAGGCCAGGCATTCATCGGCCTTGCATGTGAATCGACTGCCAAACAAGCGTTGGAAGCTACAAATGGTTATATGCTATATGATCGTCCGATGGTTGTTCAATTTGCTAGAGGTGCTAAAGCAAAACCAGATGAAAAAAGTTTATTATTATCGAATTAATGGTTTTGATAATTCATACCTTCAGGAGGATTCACATCCAAAGTTTGGAGTTCGCATATGATCATTTCGTTAGGAACCAAATAATTGTATATGTTCTATGTACAAATTGTAAATATGAGAACCAATAGCATATTGCGTTGTAACAGTTTTATGATCTGTCACAAATACAGCGATTTCAGTGAATCTAATAAACAATATAGTTAATGAGCAACGAAAATATTAAGAAGCATCCATTTCCATTGCCTACTTTTGAGAGACGTTTCCATTCTTGTAACTACTGTGAAAGTGTTTGGAATTGACAAATAATCAATTTCAACCATATTCATAGCCGTTCATCTCTTTGTCGAAGTATGATAATCCTGTTCACGATTAACTGATATATATATATATATATATATATATATATATATATATATATATATATATATATATATTGGAATAATGGTAATGTCATTAACACCTCTAGTCATCTCGTGATGTAAAGGAGGTAGTTTACGTTACTATGTAATCTGTTTACAAACCAAAAAATTATGTGCTTAGCATTTACCTACCATTTTTATGTGAAGTCTCTAAACTTTAAAGACTAAATGTCCGCTGCAGTTTCCAGTCTAGTGTGCAAGTTCCATATATCATTACCATAATTATAGATGAAGAGAATTAAAATGTAAAAGTATATTTAGTTACATGTTAAATACGTAAGATTATGAAGTATGAAAATAAAAAGAAAAAAAAACCATTCTGTTTGATATGTAAATGTGGAGGAATCCTTGTTCACAACAGTAGTAGATATTACAGTTAGAATATGAAAAGCTTTAGCTAGAATGAATTTGAGTTTGTCTAAAAAAAAGACTACGCACAATATTCGCTGTGTTACAAGAGCATGCATTAGTTCTATTGCCGGATGATGATGGCTGACCTCGAACAATTTTACGGTTTGCTTCTGCCAATCTGAACAATTCATGGCTTCGTCGAACATGAGGAGGTTGAAATGAGTCGGAAGCCAAACGACGTCGTCGTGATAAGTTTATTACAGTTTGTCTTACAAAACTACTCAGACAACGCTGACTTAATACAGATCCATTCTGTAATGGACCAGCTTCAAATGTTCTTCCTTGAAGACGCATAATGCCAACTCTGCATAATCCGGAACTTAAAGGATGAATATAAATTGTGACAGGACAGTCAAAGTTCTTGCTAGTCATATTCTGGATGTTCATTCCAACTCCTGGTTCACAGTGCATAGGTCCATCTTCCCATCGTTCGAGCCATACAACTGCCACTCGACCTCCAGTCGGGTCTGCCCCAACTTCTCCCATACCTACAACACTTTGACTTGTCCCACGAGTGATGTTAGCTTGTGTGATAATGAAACAAAATATAATATTATTATAAAGGATGGGGGATTTTAATCATTATCAAAATTTTTTTTCAAAAATGGAAATTACTTATCGAGGACGCATTTGTATTATTGAAATTAAGTTAAATTATTCAAATATCCAATCTACACAGTCTTACAAAACCACCAAACAATTTCTAATGTGATTGTTAATGAGTATTTAGAAATTCCAAAACGTTTGCTTTATTTATAAATATATGTGAAAGTTTTTATCATTTAACATATGCTCATCTTAGAAACAAAAATGATTTATACATAAATCCTTATGATGTGAACTCCAATAGCACCTTTTTAACACATTAAACATCCAAAAATCCCAGATTAACATCAAGTAAAATATATCTACTAGAGAACCTTGATCCCTTTAGAGCTTGCTTTAATTGGATTGAATACTCTTTTGAAAACAGTTTACGACACAGGTACACTGTCATCTTATCATTTTTCTGTGTGAAGTAATCTAGTCATGTGTAATATACTCTCTATGGTCACTTTAATTGGTATTCATCAGAAGTAATTAGTTTCCCTTGATAGAACTGTTTACTTTTAAACCTGATGAAATCTGCCACCTTGTAAGCTATTGGTCACTTTTAGATAGATAAATTTCCAATATGCATAGAACAAACATACTTAATAGCTACCTCAAGAGATAAATCAGGTTTAAACGTAGTCGAGTGCATTTCGCGTATGCTTCAGGAAGTACCGTCACAGCAATGAAATATTCCCTGTTATTTGTACTAAACCAATCACAATTATTTTAATTTTAAACTTACTTATGATTTCGCTCGCAGTGCGATAACGTGTACTCTTTAACGAACGATTTGAGTCAGGATTCTCTTCATTTCCATAAAATTGATTAGTGGGACAAATGCATGCTAATTCTGTTATTGCATCAGCATAGTATATAATTGATTGAATACCATCTGGACAGTGATCAGCATGTATATTTTTCGTGTGATTACAGTGACTCGTTACAAAGTATCCATTTGATGTACGATAGCTAGTTTGAAGGTTCCCTGTCCAACCTGAATGATCAGAAATATCTTTGATACAGCCGATACCACTTAAGAACTGATGAAATGCTTCAGGTAGTCTTGACCAAATCTTCTGTTTAGTAAATAAAAAATTTACGTACATGAACAGAACTAGGTCGGTGGAAATCCAGAATTAATGATCAGACGTAACAAAAATTATTCACAAATCAAGATGACCGAAAACTGTCTAAAGATTTATGGAATGTAAAATATACTTTCGTGGAGTAAGTTATGTAGAAGTCATATATGTATAAGATTCAAAATTAAATAATGAACAAAGGCGTACAAATACTGTTATCAGACCAGAAACTTAATCAGAGCACGCTACATTGAAGCGCGCTGATCGGATCACTTTCAGCCAATCAGCGCTAAGGATGAGATGAGAGAACTGTCAAATATTTTTGTGTAAAGTTTGTAAACACATCGACATTCTATTACCTTGTTTTGTTCGGAATGTAATTTATGTTCCTGTCCAAGTCTTATTTTAGTTTGACAACTGGTCGAGTGAACTGAAATGTCCAAGAATACTAGGCTGAATAAGGAGACTTAGCAATGACAATAACATTGATGTGATTAAATCAAAAACTTGGTATATTATCTAGTAGATGTGATAACTATTATATAAATTTGATGACATTTATTTCTTAGAAATTACTTTGTTTAACTTGGAGACTTATATGCTGTCATATAAATATAGGTTTTTCTTTAGTCATTAGCTCGGGTTTGTTCCCATTTGAAAACCCAACAATCAGGAATAACTGCAACAAGGATTTTAAATTGAGCGATAACATGTTTATGAATAACTTAACTAAATAAATATTTTAACAAAAGATATTATACGTATTAGTTTCATGTTTGATTAAAAATAATTTATATAAAGTGGACTGAGAAGTGTGTTGAAGAAACTAGTTTTAATATTTCAATACTTGCTTTTAAGTTAATAGTAATTGTTAGAAATGTCATCTAATTCACCTTTAATCATTGATATGTTCGTAGTAAATCTTCACTTTCTTGAATCCTTATACAATAAAAATCTATTATACCATGATTATTTTCTATTGCATTCCTATCGGTTTACCTTAACCAATTTACTATTATCTTAGTGCGTCATATTATTTCTTGTTTTTCAAAATTTCCACATCAAATATTCACAAGGCAGTCTTTGGAGTAAGGTTTGTTGAATCAGTATAAGTTATTTTGGTAGAGATCTTATATTTTCTCTCTACGTCGAAGTGTGAAAGTTGTAGTTTTCAGTACAAACATCAATGTAGTTCTGTCTTACGGAGCGGAGACGTGGAGAACTACTACAACCACCACCAAAGAGTACAGCCATCTATAAACAATTGTCTACGCAAGATACCTACTGCTGCAGAGAACAAACCAGATTCCGGCTGAAGAGGAAATTAAGAAAAGACGCTTTAGATGGACAGGATTCACATTGTCGGAATTATCAAACTGGATCACGAGGTAAACCTTAACTCAGAATCTTCAAGGTGAAAGGAAAAGAGGTAGACCAGAGAACCCATTGTGCTGGGAATAAGAAGCGGACGTCGAAATAATGAATAGCACTTGGCAATAACTGAGAAACAGAGCCCAGGAGAGTTGATTTGAGATTGCCGGTCAGCTCAACGAGAGATAACAAACGTAATAAGTATGCAACATCGAGTTGTTAGATGTAGTTAATTAAGCTTACTCCCAGTGTCCATATAGAATAGTTCACGAACATTTGCATCGTGTCATCTGGAAAATGAATTTAAAAGAAACCAATTATATACAACTTCAACTCGTAGAACACTAAACTAAAATGTTTTGGGTTTTCGACGTAATGGGAAATATAAATAGAGTTCAACAGTTCCCACTGAAAAATGGCAACACACAGTAAACTGTTTAAATGAATCTTAGGTATTTAAAAATCTCAATGTCATATATTTTATCAGGTGAATAAATAGAAACAACTGGTTATTATGCTAGCATTGTCATTTTCCAATGTTGAAGGCTCATTACCAATATTTATCGACCAAGTGATACTACTAAATGTTTGGAGTTATTTGGTGAAAAAAATTCAGACCTAAATCTCGAAGCTCATGGAATGGTTTTCTGTTGAATAAGAAGTTAAATTTTATTAGTTGAATAAAGTTAATTTTGATAAACAAAAATAAAAAAGTAGTAATCTTACCATATTCGCAAGAATATCACCAACTTTTGACTGACCAGCAGCAACATAAAAAACCAAGAGCGTATCACCTGTCCTGGTTGGCATATGGTCTAAATTTGTTAATATATCAGCAAAATCTGGATTTTCCACATCGAATGGGAATAAGGGAAGTAGTTCGTCTTCAGTACTATTCGACGGCAAAGTAGACGAAAACCCCTGTATGATACGATTAGCTGTTAAAGATGGACTTTGTCGATTCCCAAGACCAGGACGTTCACCTGATTGATTATCACGTTTTAACTCTGGACGTGGCCATAATGATTGGGGCATTTGATAAGGTCCGATTGATAAATAGCCCAAATGTGTTAGTAATAAACGCATTGGGTGAAAACTAACAACGGGACTGTGAAAGGCAAGAACGAAAACAATAATCACTTACTAAAAAATGTTCTCGAAAATGTACTGGTTGCTAAAGTGTACTTATACCGCTACTGGGACAAACTCATTCACAGTTCATAAAAGTTCTGTATTATGGAAGATTAACTGCTACATAATATATTTTGTGAATCACTAAAAAAATTATTTTTAAAATTTGTTAACGCACAATCAGAAAGGAAAGTTTTTATCCTAAAAAGTGAATAACTAAAGCTTTGATATTTTCAAACAAACTGAGCATTGGGTAAAATGTTAATAATAAAATAATAACATATTCGTGATTTCTCAACGAGTAAGAATTTGAATTTCTGATGTTTCGTGTAAGCCACTTCAGAGTAAATAAATGACCGCATTAAGTTCAAATAGACAACTTAGACTTGTGTTAATTTTTATACAGTTATTTATTTACTCAGGAGAGGCTTAGAAAGCCACAAAACATTAGAAACCCAAATTCTTACTGATTGAGATATTTTAATGGCCTTATATCTGACTCAAGTTAAATTGCATGATGACTGTTATAGAAATATACATACCCCCAACCTTCGTATATTTTTATTGACTTAATTAATGTTAGAGAATAACCGAATAAAACAAGCCAAATACGAAAATGAATTTTGAATACCTATATTTCATACTCATTCATTTGAAGAGACAATCAGTGAAACGAAGTGGTGCGCAGCAGAGATGGCGAGTGAGCCGACTCGTTTTGATCAAGCTTCACTCTATTTATATTCAGGCCAAAAATAAGTTACAAATACGTAATGGATAGAGTGAGCAATTAACACACATGCGAGTGAGCCGACTCGTTTTGATCAAGCTTCACTCTATTTATATTCAGGCCAAAAATAAGTTACAAATACGTAATGGATAGAGTGAGCAATTAACACACATGCGATCATATAAAAACAGAATTAATAAGTAACCAAATCAAAATGTGGCTTGAGAAGAATGAATAAATTGATCTGTCGTCCAGATGCTAGAATAACCTGTGTGAAATTGACGCAGTACCAGCCACTAAAATATTACGAATATACCATTATCGTATTAGTAAAACTTAAAATGTTCATTTAATAGATAAAATGCCTTTCTCTTTCAAAAAAGTAGTAACTTTCGAATCCACATCTACAAGATAGACTATACCTTCAGGAAACAAACGTTGTAAAGACTACTCATTACTCGGTAGATTACTTGCTCTCTTAAAAGTAATTAGTACGGCAATATTATTGTTCCAGTGTCAAAAAGCGAAGTCAGAATACAAACTACGTAGTATACAATCATGATATATATTCTAAAACTATCTTCCAGTTTGAACACAAGTTTTATTCTGATGGATGTAAGCTGAAGTTGACTACAAACATTTTACTGACACACTGGTTATCATTATGAATGAAAACTCCCTATTTAACTAACTATATCAATTAACATCTCGCTGAAATACTATTTACCGCACGGTCATTTTTGTATTTTTCTTTAATATAATTTTTTTCATCCAGTTTGTCTAATAAAATGTTCAGCTTTAAAATGGTAAATATTGGTTACTGATTCCTTAAAAGTAATACAAAACGTAAATATCCCTTGACTGATCACCTTTTTTCAAACTATGAACGTAAATAACTTACAAATTACTAGCTGTATTGTTTCGAACATTGTCATGGACACCGATAATGTGTTCTTGAGTACGTTGTATCTGGTGGCGTTCCAATCGCAACAATGTTCCTTAACACATGAGCACGAATTTTCAAAGACAAGTTAACCAGTCACTGAATTTTAAATGTTTTTTAATCACACCCAGGAAATTCCCATCACTAGGGATCATGAATCCTAATAACCGTGCAAAAAATGTCAGCCACTGTTGAGAGTACAAATGTATAGAAAAACATTGATAAATTGAGCTGTTTTTACAACTCATTTCATGTTACTCTATTCATCAAACTAAGATTAAAGCAAGACACAAAAAACCAAACTTACATTGGTGCTTTTGCTTCTGTGATTGGATCAGGATATGGTGCATTAATTTTTTCTTGGACACAACGTAATCCAACTTCCTTTGCTAGTGAAGCATGCGTGGTTATTAATGTCTTGAATGCATTAATTTCTTGTCTAACATTACTTCCAAGTTCACTACCGACTTTATCCAGCGAAGGTATTATATGATCACTAATTTTGATATGGGAAAGAGTTGGGTATACATATAATGCACAAAAATACAGTACTAAGCAGATTTAGAGCAACAATAAGAAACTGAATTACAGCTCAATATGTATCATTAAAAATTTAAAGTACAACTATGGAAAAGTGGTGGACCTTTATCAATTATTGATCAGCGCCAAAAAACTAGAAAACATGATAATAGTAACTGCTCAGAGATCAATAAATTGGAAACGTCTCAGTCCAATGGAAAGTCATTTGCAGCCAGAATAGCTCAGTGATAACGTTTCAAACTGTGAATCTGAATGAAGTGGATTTAAACCCACCAGAGGGGATCAGTTCCCTCAAGACGGGGGGTATATCTAGCCTCCAAATGCGAACCTATCGACTACTTACAACCACCCAACCATTTACTAGTTTCAAAAGCTTAAAAGTGCTGGCAGCCAATTAAGAAGTTGGTGTTATTAGTGATAAGTACCAAAAATGCACTACATATCCCAGAAATAATACCAGGAGCTAACTAGTGGTAGTATTTTATATACATATTTAATGACATAATCAAGAAACATATTGCTTACGCTTCAACAAGTGGAATATCGGATATCGATTGTGGAAAGTTTAAAGCAGGAACATTTTCATTGTTGGTTACTGTGGTGATAAGTCTTTCAAGAAAACAACCCCAAGGTTTAGGACGATTAATTACTACTTGTTTTTGATCCGAATAATTTGATTGCGAATTTGAGTCGTTTCCCAACAATGGTGAAAGACGCATATGTGTTATCCAAACATGACGTCCAAATGGTCCTCGAATAATTAAAATTGCAGCTGGTCCATCTGTTGAACAATCATTTTTTGGTTTTATGGTTGATTTAAATGAATTCGCAGGGAATTCGCACAATCCAATTATTAAACTGGGTTCGGACCAGAAATAGTGAAATTCTGACCGACCCTTAGATGAATTCGACTCTTCATCTATAATCAATTTCAAAATGTTATCTTCTGCTAATTGAGAACATGTTGTATCTGTCCCGAACGGTCCAGGAAAAGATCCAGCTACTGACATTAAATTTGACAGACAAGCCTCAGCTGCATCACAAACACGTTTTGAGGATGGAACCAAAGGTTTTTGACCTTTGAGAATAGTAGTAGGGGGCTCATTTTTTGCCTGTTTATTCTGATTTAGATTTTAAAAAACAGACCGTAGTTTAATACAATGTACTCAGAAACAGCAGTTTGCAGAGAAAAAAGATACTAACTTATGGTTGAATAATCAATGAATAATGGATCAAAATTAATTTAGAAGCTTTGCTACTCGATATTTTTAATTGATAAGATTTAATTAACTTATGTTAATACATAGGCGCTCTTCTCACAAATACAAACTAAAATATTATTAGAATGCTATCAGCTGTCACATGTAAGAAAATTTGAGAAAATTTCATCATGTGATGATAACATATGAAGGGAATTCTTTCAAAATATTATTGTTCACTGTATTATGCATAAATAGTAGTTATTTGGATTACCGATTATCAAGTAAATATTGTTTAATAATAAGTTTATTCATTAAAAGTGTAATATAGAAAAAAAATTTAGCTTGTCTACAGTTCGGAGGTGATTTTCATCGTGAAATGATATCAGTTGAGGGATTACTAGGTACTAGTTAGCATTAAACGGTTACTCACTTACTTACGCCTGTTACTCCTAATGGAGCATAGGCCGACCACCAGCATTCTCCAACCTACTCTGTCCTGGACCTTCTTTTCTAGTTCCATCCAATTCTTGTTCATTTTTCTCATATCTATCTCCATTTCTCGGCGTAATGTATTCTTTGGTCTTCCTCTCCTCCTTCGGCCTTGAGGATTCCATGTGAGGGCTTGTCTTGTGACGCAGTTCGGTGCTTTCCTCAATGTGTGTCCTATCCACTTCCAGCGCTTCTTCCTGATTTCTTCATTAGTTGGGATCTGATTTGTTCTCTCCCACAGTAGGTTGTTGCTAATAAAGTTCGGCCAACGGATCCGAAGTATTTTGCGTAGACAGCTGTTAATAAACACCTGTATCTTCTGGATGATGGATTTCGTAGTTTTCCAGGTTTCCGCCTCATACAGTAGAATTGTCTTGACATTTGTATTGAAAATTCTGACTTTGGTGTTGGTTGCCAATTGTTTTGAGTTCCAGATGTTCTTCAGTTGTAAATATGCTGCTCTTGCTTTGCCAATCCGTGCCTTCACATCTGCATCAGATCCACCGTGTTCATCGATGATACTGCCCAAATATGTAAAGGTTTTTACATCTTCCAAAGCTTCTCCGTCAATTGTGATTGGATTGTTGCATGCTGTGTTGCATCGGAGAATCTTGCTTTTCCCTTTGTGTATATTAAACGGTTGATTTGACCTAATTTCTATTCTTCAGCAGTATTTATTACTATGATGTTGATTTAGGGTACACAATTAACTCATATTTCAAATATAATCTATAAATAGTTGAATAGGTCTAAAGAAAACCGAATAAATCATTCTACCATCGATACTTAGTTGATGAATATACTGTTTTCGTTAGTATTCTGTTTACTATACCAAGATGGTTCACAGAAAATCAGTATATTATAAAACTATTAAATAGCTTCTAAGCTTCATCGATTAAGTATTCGAACGCACAACCCAGTAACTCAAGGTCTATTACTTCGTTCACTGAACTATTCCTCTCCACTAAGACAAAAATGTTAAGAGTCTATTGTTATATCGAAGTATTTAGCTCTGGAAGGATCATTATTATAAGATTAGCATCAAAGATTCGACAAAAATTAAAATACAACATGTAATAAACAATAACATACTGAAGACTTAGCACCACAAATACCCAATTCAATTGTTTCTAATATAGTCCATACACATTCTCGATCAGATAATAATAAATTTACATGTTGTACAATCCATGAAGATAAACAATAATACGCAGCAACAATAATACTATGCAGCTGCCTTTTATGATCTTTTTTTTCACGGTTACATTGATTTGTAATAAATTCACATATTGATCGGACGGTGTGTCTATCTAAAAATAAATATGGGAGGTGAAACAAAAGGAAAAAAGATTCAAAACATAACTGTCTTTTTCTTCAATCAAAAATGAAGTCACTCAATAATCAACTAATAGGTTTACAAGTGCTTCATAGTAAGAAAAAGAAACTAGTAAAAAACTAAACTGTATGTTCACTCATGCTGGAATTGATTGATATATCGTGACATAAATGATCCGGAAATTCCAGAGTTGCATACATCAAGTCTGGGATCACTACAACAAAAGACATCCAATTATATAAGTGTTGACAGTTTTGTTTATTCTACAATACTATTTTTACACTGATATAATTCTAGTTAGACTTGTCTTTTACATTCAATATTGAGGACTTCAGGTAATAAGAAAAAGAAAGAAGTTGAAATAGGTTGTGTTAAAACAAAATTACACTTTCAAAAATAGTTTTTATGAACCCTTATCGTTTATTGACCATATCTATTATGTAGTCAGCTAGGGTATTGTGGAGCCCTTTGAGTTCGTCGGCGATGGCGGGCTCACCACTTTAGTGGCCCGTGATCTGACTCCAAATAGATCGTATGAATGATCGTTGTGGAAATATATTTGCGCCTTATCCTCGTGTATAATCATTGACTTAAATCGCGTTAGTTAATAACGGAATTAAATAAGTCAAATAACGAGAATGGACTTTTGGATACATATATTTTATATATGAAGCGTATAGAATAGAACGAAGCAAAACGACGCGCAGTGGAGATGGCTGGTAAGCCAACTCCCATTTAACCAAGCGTTAACCAATATTTATAGTTACACAAAAATAAGTAACAGACATGTGATGAGTGATCGGATAAGAAGTGAGCACTCGTCTATGCGCTCATATAAAAAATATATGTATCCAAAAGTCCATTCTCGTTATTTGACTTATTTAATTCCGTTATTAACTAACGCGATTTAAGTCAATGATTATACACGAGGATAAGGCGCAAATATATTTCTACAACGATCATTCATACGATCTATTTGGAGTCAGATCACAAGCCACTACAAACTGGTGATCCCGACGTGATTCGAACACTCAACCTTCTGATCTGAAGTCAGGTCGCGGGCTCACCACTTTAGTGGCCCGTGATCTGACTCCAGATCAGAAGGTTGTGTGTTCGAATCACGTCGGGCTCACCAAGTTTGTTGAGGCAAAGTTCCTCTTGATCTGACTCCAATATATAGTATCTCGTTAACTGAGTATTTAATGCAGGCTAAATCTCCTAGTAGGATTATTGATTTACTCGAGATTATTCAAAAGCCCAAACATCGGTTATAGAGATAGTTTATTGTTAGAGCTTGGTAAAATCCGCAAGCATGCAGCAAGCAAGCACGCAGGGAAAACACAAGTGTGTGTGTGAATGAATGTGTGTTCAAATATATATATATATATATATATATATATATATATATATATATATATATATATATATATATGTGTTAATCAAGTCTGGATAAATTATTGATTGTCTGTTTATTACAATCGATGGAAGAATAGACTAAAAATTGACAATTGCTCAATCAGACTCACACAGAAATTACATGGTGAATCAAGTGTCTAAATTGCAATGAGCAAATAAATAATACAGTAGTGGAATGGTTTTACTACAGTATATTTCTCCCATTACACACTCATGATACTTGACACTTCCCGTACAACTTGTCACTGTGAACTAAAAGGTTTAACGATAGTATCTACCATTTTTTCTTAGTATAAACTAACTACGAATTTAATGCGAATTGTACGGTTAATTCAAGAAACGACATCTTTTAAATGAAATCTTTTTAGTTTTATTTCACTTCCCTAGGGGAGTGGCTATAGGTGAGGATTACCGAAGTGTACGAAACTGGGACAAAAAACAGTGATTCGGTGCTCCGTCGTTCTCTGTTATTTTTCAGTTGATGCCAGGTCGTCATACAAAATAACTTTACACAAAACAATCTTTCGAATTAATCCAAATGATTTTTTGGTCTGAAATATGAAGATAACAATTTTCTAATTGACGGATAATAAAAACAATCTTATCAAATGAAGCAAGTTGAATATTAAAGTACTTACAAGTAGATGGATCAACTGGTGTAACATGTACATTAGACAAACCAGAGATGATTTCTAATAAATAAAGCATAACTGATGAATCATTTTTCCACTTATACACTAAATTACCACAAAGCAGTGGTGTCAGAATATTGAAGAAACTAGATGTTGTATCTAAAACGTAAGTAGAAAGTTTGCAACTGAAAAGTATATATATATATATATATATATATATATATATATATATATACGAAGCACCAAATATATTTGAGGAAATCAATACACGTGAATAGAATAAGCCAAATCAAACGAAAGTATGTTCTGTAAGGCTTTAACAACAAATCGCATTAGTTAATCCGACGAATCAAATAACGAAAAACAAACTTGCTGTCGCATCATCTACGTGAAATATGTTGAACATGCGCCAACTAGATCATGTATCGTTAATACCAAACAACCACAACTATATCAAAAGTGAGCTAAATGGGAAACACTTCCATAGTCTAATAGATAACAAACTATCATACTAATCTATGAAACCATTAATTGTTAGACTTGTGTCGTATAGGGGAGTGTTGACTTGTTGAAATACTCTTTACTCAAAGAAACTATACGTGAAGAGACTAGACAAAATGGCATGCAATTAATTACCAATGGCGAAGATTCATTTACTATCTACGTACCTACAAATTTTGATAATTTATCCTGAAAAATGTTTTCACAGTTCAACAGTACAATTTCTGTTTATGATTATAAATATCTTTTTTTGATATTGGGAAGTGGGAGAATTGAAACCAAGATGTATTTTACTGTATACATACTATGTTGCATTCGCCTATCTTACTAAAACTACATGAACGTAATAAATCAATTTAAAAATTGTTATCATAAACGACAGTATCACTAATGACATTCTGTCTGATCTGATAAATCTCCAATCATTTAATTGAAATGTGAATGAAGTTCTCCGTCGGACACGAACGAGTTAAACTTTCGAGGTGTTACACCTCCGGACAGACTGTCAAAATAACATGAATTCAAAATCAGGGAGTGAAACTTCCTGGACAGAATGCACAAATAAGCGCTGGTGATAGATATTATTAGAATAGTCTGCAGATAACTGACACAATTTCATCAACAACATGATCCAACCACAAACACGAAGATTAATTAAACAAGAATATCTGTATAAAAACTGTTGGAAAAAAGTAACCTAAACTCAAAAAGCCTTACGAGATTTCCCAGGGTCATTTCGACCATTAGATGACTGCATTTCATCAGCTGACATGTCTTCAATTAAAGCCAACGCCACACCTAATCAATAGTTAAAAATGAAAATTATTGAGATTTATGATTTGGTATATGTGTTATGGAAATATAGAAACTACAGTGAGTGTTGGCAACAGCGTTCATAAAACTTAAAAATGAGTGAAACTGAATGATAATTTAAGTACTGATAGAAAGGAGACATTTTAAAACAATACAGGCGTTTTTCAAGAGTCCAGTTATTACGCCGTTTAGTTGCTCTATTTACGTTCCTTATGTAGTTTGAATATACCTTACGAATTAGATATTCTCTCTAACTATTTATATGGATTTTGTATTGCATTTCATGATTCTAATAAATAACAAGAGATGCATATGCGCCACACAGATCTCATTTGATATGTATGAGGGCTGTGATACTGCCCGGGTGCCCAAACCGAAGCAGGTTGTTTTCTTAGGGGACCACACCCCGAGCCTTTGACCTGAACGTCTGACCCACAAGGCAGTGGAGCATCGTGAGGAGATGCAGTCCCATGGTAGCCGGTGACCAACGATTGGTTCATACGCCATTTGTCCCCTCAGGATACTGGAGCCCATGTGCACCATTGGTTTGGGATCCGGTTATAGCGCCGGAAATTCGCTTTTCGTCCTCTCATTTTCGTAAACAACAGTAATGCCACGAGAAGGCAGTGAGTAGGACTTCCCTGGCAGGGGCTGTATACGCGTGGCCATGTGAGAGCATTTCGAGAAGGAGAGCGGACTCTCCCCAATCTCGGCCATACCAGGGCATTTGGGGACTCTAATAAATAACAATGCAATAAAACTAAATATATTTAATCAAGTTATAGAGATATGAACAACTGGTCAAAGTAGTCGAACAAACAATTGATAATATGAAATAATAAAATATATTTTCTAGGAAAACAAAAGGTTAAGCAATCATAATAAGATGTCAATAGTGCATAATTGTATTTATCCCATACTTAACTATATCGGGTAATAAGCTCTTAGTAAAAACAAGATATTTACCTATGAAAGAAATTCCTTAGTAAACCCGATGTGTACACAAGACCATCTACAAACATCTCCTAAAGTTACCGAGATGCATGAACGTTATTACAATAGACGGTAAACAATGGTGAAATCAATCAATCATAGCCAACGTATAACCACTTGGTATGAATGTGCATCAGTTCAAGTGGCTATGCACCAAATGAGTACAAAGAGGGAGAAAGACTGACGAGATGAGAAGCATGGTAACTTGCCAAGAAATTTGGGACATTTATTTCTCAATCATCCCAATGTGTTAAAAAAGTACTCTTGTTTTAAATTTCTTCTCACTGCGAATAATTATGAAAATCAACTGCATAAGTTCACGAGCTTTCATAAGAAGCTTACAACTTTAATTCTGTACTGAATATTGGAAAATTCAGATGGAAATAGCTCACTCCATGGCATATTCCTTTTTTACCCTAACCTTTGAAGAAACAAAAGGTAATTACATTAGGATTCATACATCTAGTATACGATGAATCAAGAAAATGTTAATAACTTGGTTGATAGGATTCGATCTGCACTAAGAAGGACCTGACACACATGACATTAATCACCACCCAATGATCAGTCAATTGTAAATGCATCTCAGTCCCACACGAGGTCAGTCACGGCCCGGATAGCCAGTGGTAACATCTCTGACTAAGAAGCTGGGTGACACGGGATCGAATCAGTTTACCCGAGATTATAGGTACACCTCGCTGACGAAAACCAAGTAGCATGAAACCCAGGTCCAGGTTTTCCTTTGACTACTTCCAACTACAATCTTAAATATTGGCATGGTATTTGAGTAGGAAATTCTGACTGTTGAAAAATATTTGTGAAATACAATTTCGAACAATTACAATTTGAAAGCAGGTCTAAGAGAAACTTGTTGTAACAGTGTATAATTGGTGCTGAGTATCCCCCACTGTAAAACTTTATAATATTGTATAATTCTTTTAATTGTCAGAATAGGGGTTTATGGACAATGTTGAATGTCATCACTTACATCACGGATAACCTTACTAAGGTAGCCTTTCAATATCAAGAACTATTGAATAGCTATTTTGACCTAGTATGTGAATTATCAGACGTCACCCACCATCCTATCGGAAATCTAACCCATAACTTTCAGTAGTTTAAAGGCTAAGAGCTCCTCACGAAACCAAAAGTTCCTAACTCCAATCACCGACAGGATCGTGAACGAGCACTGCTATTGAGTCATACACTAAGACGAAATAATTGTCCGATGCCTCCTGATTTTGAACAATTGCTTAAGATCAGTCTATAATGTAAACCTTATTATTATTATTATTATTATTATTATTATTATTATTATTATTATTATTATTATTATTATTATTATTGGAGCAGAGGTAATATCATCTCCAATAGAAAATTAAACATAAGACATACATTAAAGAAAAGCATTACTGACGACAGTGAAATCTTATTTGAAATAACAAAAAAGACAATACTCACTTAATAATAATTGAAAATTTACCGGATCTTCAGTACTACTCAACGTATCACATAAAATATTAACCATCATATTTTTTATATCATTCAATGAACATAGATTATTCTCATTAGACATCAAAGGAATCAAGGCTAAAAGAAACAGCAATTAATAACAATAAGAAAGATGAATAAAGACATTAATAAAAGAAAAGTGGTATGACAATTAAACTTCTTGAAAAATAAAAGTTACAAAACAAGTATTATGATTAAGGGGTTATAAAAAGAACCACATGATGAGAATATATTCAATGATGTAACAAAATGTATTTTAACAATTTCATACACAAATTTCTTTAATGTCCTAAATTAATATGAGGATCTCTTAATAAAAGTTTATACACAACATGAAATGTGTGTTAATTTCGTTTTAATTTTATGTAGTACAACACAATCACCGGCTAATAGGTGAATATCATTATTTAGTATATGTGATTATTATTTTTTTGTTTTGCAGTAATCATAATATGATGAGGAAAAATGAAGAACATTTTAAATGAACATTATGAATTCCCATATTAAATGTTTCTATAGAATAATTTAAGTATTAAAAAGTGAGATATCTCTGATAAAAGATGATCAATGATTAGGTAATAAAACTAAATCAATTCCAATATATTTGGTCTGTGGTTATTAGTGGAATCCAGGATACGCTTATCAATTCATCGACTTGATGTACTTGTATCGTTTACACTAAAACTTAAACCTAGTAGTCTTTTAAATCAAATGGCCAACACGGCATCCACTGAGCCACTGGGTCCCGATAGTTACTAGCTTGTTTAATGAGTATGAAGGTTATTAGTGAGAGTTTGTGACTTCCTGTTATTGATGTAAAATACTTTAATAGATCAGTTTCTGTTGGCGTATGTGTACCTGATGCTGGCCACAAACTAAATATACGTGTGACACAACACAATATCAAAGCAATCCGCTCAGGATGCACACATACAGCGACAGAGACTAAACAACTTCAGTTCTGAATATTAATAATGGGAAATTTCAAAATCTTTATTAATACTGAATAGACAGCCAAAGAAAAGTTGTTCATGTAATTAATTAGAAATATAAGTTTTATGGTTTAGTATAACTTCTTATAACTCATCAAATTACAGTATGAGTTACTCAGAAAGTTTGTATTTATAGGTAAATACCTCAATGAAAAAAAGGGAACACTACAGTGATGACATATTAGTTAAAGCACCGGATACTCAATAACAATAAATAATAGGGTTCAGACGACATATCATCTATTCTGTTTTGGATAGCTAGATAGTATCTTTTATCCTATGTATAAAATGTACGGCTCAAAGCTGAGTTTGTTATAAATGGAAAAATAATCGATAACTTATGAATCACTGTACACAAATGTGGTAAAACTAGTCAATTAATTGTGAGTGGACGGATTTACTAGACAGAACAGTATTCTTTTGAATAGATTCTTCGGACTCAAGTAGTTATGGGCAGTGTTGAAGTTACCTAGTAAAGTTCAGATAATACTTTATTAGCTCAACTATATTCCCAAGTCATGATAATAAAAGGTTTACTAAATGTTCAGTAATAGACCCGGCTACTGAGCGCTTCTCTGATGTACTTGATGCCCATTGAAAGTAGCAACTATAATTTGGATTTTGACGATTTCTATTAGTTTTTAGTTTAAATTACACAAAGGTTTACAAATTCTGGCTAGAATAAAAAACAATATTCGGAGGGAAAGATTGATTATATGGATGTAATTCACAACACTATTAGGGGTGAAGCAGGAAATATATGATTTCTAGTCATTTGAAAGCCAAGTCAAATAAGCACAAAGGTGATATCTTTTGTTTTAATATATCAATTTGATTATATCTATCAATAGGAAAGTATGAATCAATAAATTGGAACACTACATCTGAATAATCTAGGGGCAATAATACTATTTTCCCTTCTGGACAGTGTGGTTAACATTGCATTGAATAGTACCCCACAAAAATTCGTAATCACTAGTTTGACAGAACCCTACTAACATTTGTAGTGTGTGTGATTCAAGAAATAAGCGTTCCAACAAGTACGGTGAATGCTTGTCAATACAAGTAAATAGTCAAACAACAACTATTATATATATATTCGACAAGCCACTGGATGTTTAACTAAATTTACCTGTATAAACTATAAACAATGCAAAGTAATAACATAACTTAGTGGTCCCAATAAAAATAAAATGCACCAAATCGAGAATACGTGATCTTATGAGATTGTTAATCATCAATACTGAGAATTTATATCAAAGCTTGGAAAATCAGTATACTTTCAAGTCAACTGTTGTTACTGGGAAACACGATCAATATCGTGAATCCTCGTACATTTATACAATAAATAATACTACGCACTGAACAAGTGTGTTAGTGGGACATAGATTGCATTTAAGCATGCTCAATGCACGATTGCTTTGGCGCACGCTGATTGGCTGATTCTTATCCAATCAGCGCTAGTCTATACATGGAGAAGCTTCTAGATTCTTCTTATGTAAAAAGCTATAAATATACTAACGGTTTTCCTATTTCGCTTCTTGCTTCCACCTAACCTTGTTATTTGGAATATAATCTCCTTCCTGCTCAATCGTGTTCTGATTTGGGGCCTTATCGAGTGAATCTGTGACCGTGAATACTAAGCGATAGGAATAGCTGGGTTATAACCGTAAGAGCGAAAATATAACAGTGGCGACGAGGAAAAAGGAAAATAAATTCAATATGTCCATATCAGACGACCAGCTTAACCGAATACTACAACAACAGCAACAACAATTAGATGCACAAATGCGGTTGTTAGAGACTCTGACTCAACAGCTTAGCTTCCACTGCTCGAGTTCACATGCCATTTCAAGTACGTCTTGTGATGCAGTTGCTAGCAGCATACCAGAATTCATCTATGATCCCGAAAGCGGAAATACTTTTCTCACGTGGTTCAAACGTTGGGAAGATACATTTAGAATAGAATTCTGTAACCAAGACGACGCGTGGAAGACTCGACTGTTGGTACGTAAGTTAGGAATTAATGAACATGCACGCTATGCTGACCATATATTGCCTAAGTTACCTCGAGAGCTCAGTTTCGAGGAGACGATAATTCAATTGTCAGAGATATTCGGTGAATCCTCCTCATTGTTTAGTATTCGACATCAGTGTCTAAATTTGGTGAAACGCGAAGCCGATGAATATGGTGTTTTAGCAGACATCGTCAACAGAGAATGTGAACGGTTCAAGTTACGCTCGTTGACAGAAGACCAATTTAAATGCCTAATATTCATCAAAGCTCTTCAGTCACCACAAGATGCTGAGATCAGGACTAGACTTTTGGCTCGACTAGATCAAGACCCAAACGTCACACTCAGAACGTTAACAGATGAGTGTAAGCGGCTACAAAGCATCAGACACGACAACAAGTTGATTGAACAGGTAAATCCTAATTTAACCTGCAGTAGTGTCAATGCTATTACTAGGTTAAAAGTTAAGAAGCCGATAACAACTCGTAATAAACCAACGACTGCATGCTGGTTATGTGGTGATTGGCATTATGTACGATTCTGTCCATTTAAAAAGCATATATGTCAGGTGTGCAGCAAACGTGGACATAAAGAAGGTCATTGTCCACCGAATCGTACGTCTCATCCCAAAAAGAAGCATAAACGTTCTCGACATGTGAAATCAGCCGAGTTTAAATCTCTTTCTCTGGTAGCTGCCTTTCAAACAAACTATGACATTCGGAGAAAGTATGTTACCATCCAGATAAACGGCATATCAGCTCGTCTTCAAATTGACACGGCATCAGATATCACCTTAGTATCTAGAGAAACGTATAACTTGCTGGGTAAACCGCCAATGAAGCCATCTAAGAAAACGGCCAAAAACGCATCAGGTGGTGTGCTAAAACTGGTTGGTGAATTACAGTGTGAATTTTCCTTCAATGGAACTAACTGTACAGGAATATGTTACCTAACAGAACGGCCAAACCTTGATCTTCTTGGTCTAGATATGTTAGATAAACTTGGAATAATGGATGTACCGATTAACAGTGTCTGCAACGTATTGTGTTCATCATTAGACACCCCAGTACTTGCAAAGAAGACATGTGAAAGGTTACTAGAAAAACTGAAAAGAAAGTTTGCCTCTGTTTTTCAGAATAGCCTTGGCCACTGTACCAAGATGAAAGCTCATTTACCACTGAAACCAGATGCCAAACCTATTTTTCGTCCTAGACGTCCTGTACCATATGCTGCTCTTGAGTTAGTCGATCAGGAACTTAATCGCTTGCAACAGGCTGGTGTAATTCAACCAGTCAACTACTCTGCATGGGCCGCACCGATCGTAGTGATTAAGAAGGCGAATGGAACTATACGCATATGTGCCGATTTCTCGACCGGTTTAAATGCTGCATTAGATGTGTATCAATATCCATTACCAGTTCCTGAAGACCTGTTTGCCAAACTTAATGGTGGGACATGTTTCGCGAAAATAGACTTTTCCGATGCCTATCTACAAGTAGAAGTAGATGAAGACAGTAGAGAGCTTTTGACCATTAACACTCATCGAGGGTTATTTCAATACACCCGTCTACCATTTGGCATCAAGACTGCACCTGCCATCTTTCAGCAAATAATGGATACGATGCTAACAGGTATACCTGGTACAGCAGCTTATCTAGATGATATCATAGTTATGGGTTCAACTGACAATGAACTTTCTGATCGACTACATCAAGTCCTTAACCGAGTGTTGGAATATGGTTTCCAACTACGTGAGGAAAAGTGTACTTTCTTTATGCATTCCATCAAATACCTTGGTTTTATCTTAGATAAGAACGGTCGCCGACCAGACCCTGCCAACATCGAAGCCATTCAGAAGATGCCTGCACCAACTGATGTCTCTTCATTAAGATCCTTCTTGGGGTTAATCAGTCACTATAGCACATTCTTGCCTGAAATGCATCGAGTGAGAGGTCCGCTGAATGAATTACTATCAAAAGATAAACCTTGGCAGTGGTCAGCAGAATGTCAAGCATCTTTCGACAGAGTCAAATCAATGCTCAGCTCAAAGATTCTTTTGACACACTTCGATCCCAGCTTGGAAATTGTTGTTGCATCTGATGCATCTAGTCATGGAGTTGGAGCAGTAATATCTCACGTGTTTCCGGACAAATCAGAAAAGACAATTGCCCATGCTGCTAGATCACTTACCCCAGCCGAGCGGAACTACAGTCAAATTGAAAAGGAAGCTCTTGCGATCATTTTCGCTGTCAAAAGATTTCATAAAATGCTCTATGGTCGTACATTTACTCTACTGACAGATCACAAACCTTTGATTGCAATCTTTGGTTCTAAGAAAGGAATCCCTGTCTATACGGCTAATAGACTACAGCGCTGGGCAACAATGCTCCTGAGTTATGATTTCAATATCAAGTATCAGTCGACAAATACTATCGGTCAAGCCGACGCTCTCTCTCGATTAATTGGAGTTCAGCATCCTGGACCAGAGGATATAATCATTGCCTCCATAGCAGTAGACCCAGAAATACGAAGTATAGTGGCAGATGCCATTCGAAACACTCCAGTGTCGTCAGATGAAGTCAGAGAAGAAACTCTTCGAGACCCGATTCTACAAGAAGTTAGAAAGTTCCACCTGGAAGGATGGCCCACGAAGATCAGTTCCACAGAGCTTCAACAGTTTTACCAGCGTAGACTCTCTCTCTCAATCATCGACGACTGCCTGCTGTTTGCAGAACGTGTCATAATCCCAAAGAAGCTACAACCAGCAGTGCTTGAACAGTTGCACGCAGGACATCCTGGAATAAATCGCATGAAAGCATTAGCACGAAGTTATGTATACTGGCCGCATTTAGACACTCAACTGGAGCAGCTATCCCGTTCATGTACCAAATGTGCATTAGCAACGAAAGCACCGCGGAAAGCAGAGCTGCAATCATGGCCAATACCACAGTCACCGTGGCAGCGTATACACTTGGACTTTGCTGGTCCACTTCATGGACAAACTTACCTTTTGGTAGTTGATGCATATAGCAAGTGGCCAGAAATCTTTCTCATGGAACACCCGACTGCAAGCTGCACAGTCAGTAAGCTACGTCAACTATTCAGTCGTTTCGGAGTCCCGGAATTGATAGTTAGTGACAACGGAACACAGTTTACGTCCGTAATTTTCTCACAATTTTGTCGGCAGAACGGAATCCATCACGTCCGAACACCTCCATTCCATCCCCAATCAAATGGTCAAGTGGAACGCTTTGTGAGTACATTTAAAAATGCTCTAAAAAAATCTAAAGGGGAGGGGACCACCGAAGAGATCTTAGAGAGGTTCCTGCTTATTTATCGCTCGACACCGAACCCTCAGACGATTAAGGGGGTCTCTCCAGCAGAAGCTCTACTTGGCAGAAAAATACGAACACATTTCGATGTCATCCGTCCTACGCCAGCTCTTGAGCCTCAACGAAACCTATCTATGGAGAATCAGTTCAATCGACATCATGGGGCACAAAAACGATTGTTCACGGTGGGACAAAAAGTACTTGCTATGGACTATCGTGAGAAACATCCTACATGGACAGCTGGTCGGATCTTGAAAAAGAAGGGGAGTGTGGTTTATGAGGTGTCAGTTGGCTCAGAAGTTTGGGTACGTCATGCTAACCAATTGAAAGCAACTTCGATAGCCAGCAACGAGATTCAATATCGATTACCTCTTGATGTTCTGCTAGACACCTTTGAAATCAAAACGCCTGGAACAGACAGGTCAGTTTCTGTGCAAGCAAAGAGTGATACTTCTTTATTGCCTAGACGATGGACAAATCGAAAGCACAGGCCAGTCACTCGGTTGCAGTTGGACCCTAGCACCAGATCCTACGAATCTGCTCAAAGGGGAGGTGTTAGTGGGACATAGATTGGATTTAAGCATGCTCAATGCACGATTGCTTTGGCGCACGCTGATTGGCTGATTTTTATCCAATCAGCGCTAGTCTATACATGGAGAAGCTTCTAGATTCTTCTTATGTAAAAAGCTATAAATATACTAACGGTTTTCCTATTTCGCTTCTTGCTTCCACCTAACCTTGTTATTTGGAATATAATCTCCTTCCTGCTCAATCGTGTTCTGATTTGGGGCCTTATCGAGTGAATCTGTGACCGTGAATACTAAGCGATAGGAATAGCTGGGTTATAACCGTAAGAGCGAAAATATAACAAAGTGGTTTTAGCATAACAACAAAAATAACTTCCGTAAGGATGTGCTTCACAACTGATTGATCAGACTAAATAAACTATTGTAAGATCAAGGTGATTAAAATGTTTTGCATACCTAGACAAAAAGATATCAAGTTTATTATAATTTGAAATTATAATGGTCCCACTATCCGACTTACGTTTTAAATGTGCGCCTTTAAATTGAATAGGAATACATACCATCGACATAAGCTGATGTATAGCTGCACGCTGAACCAAGGTTGGTGATAAAAATTCAGGTTTCCTAGAACAAAAAAAGTAGTGCGAATACAGTATTTACATGAGAACACAGTATGACTAATGGTGAAATCGAAAACAAAAGTTAATGCAGTAAAATGTCAGATTCAATAAATAAACCATACTTATATAATGATGATCAAATAAATTACAGAGCCTTAACTTGTCACGACTAACTCGATGAAGTTAAAGCAAAATTCCAAGTTTTTCGTTTTTCAAAAGATTGAAAAAACGGAACAAAATTCCAAATCGTTCTACAGAAATACTCTTACGATGAAAGACTGGTGATAAAATGAGTGCTATGAAACAGGAATAACTACACGTAAGTGATGCTTTATTAGTTCAAGTAAACCCTGTCGATTAACAAATGAAATGTAGCGAACAAACCCCGCATAATATAATTTTCTCCACGTATAGAGGTAATCACTGGGAAAAACCTAAATACCACTCTCAAGTTTATCAACAATTATTAATGAGACGTAACTATCTTTTTTGTTTTGCCTTTTAGTGGCACAGATGGTTGATCTATTTGAGTTATAACTAATCTTGTTCGGAATTAGAATAAATAGGTTTATGAGTTGTGAATGTTAATCTAACCATATCAGATTTAGAAATACTTGTTGTATAAAGAATGGAAATAGTACTGAAACAGATAAGTAATAGATTAAAGCTTCGTTAAGCAGAAAAAAATACTGACACTGGAGGTGGCAACAAAGAACCAGTGAAATGAATATAGTACATTATAGAGCTACATTCTCAGTAAACAAATGCATATATCGAAAAAATTCTTGTCAATTAAATGAAAACTCATAGCATAACTAGATTCAGTTGTATTAAGTTGATTCTTAATTTCAGATAAACGATATGTGTTGTCAGTTCATAGAAATAAGTAATGAACATATATTGTTATCCAAAAACTTCTAATTTGAAACATAGAATCACATGCTTATTGATATTAACTTCGATTAGAATGTTCGAGTTACCACTAAAAATTCTTACTTAGCTGATATCTAATGATAGTGTGAAAATCTCAAAATACTTTAGCTAACATCAAATTGTAATATAGAAAATTAATAGATTTCTTCGAATAGGTATTTTAGTTTTATTCACAGAAAAAACGAAACAACAACGTTCAGTTTTACTAACCAATATGTACATAATTATCAGATTATAGTAATTTCAATAGTTGAATACATGAGTCAATCTAAGCTAAACCATGACTGAAAACCTGAAAGCATTAGACGGCTGTTTCGTCCTAATATGGGACTCTTTAACAGTGTACATCCACGATCCCATACGCAGGTTTCGAACCCGGGGCCTTCGGTCTCGCGCGCGAACATGTACATAATTGTCAAGCAAAAAAAAAAAACGTTTAACGATAAAGATGAGTATTTTGTCTCAATAAATAATATTAAAGTTGATGAAAGAACAAAATATAAAACCCCAGGTTTTTAGTCAAATAGAAAATAAATAAATAAACCTAAACTACACCTTAATGTAAGGCTCAAATTTTTCACATTATTAATACTCATTAACGAATGAACTCCCATTTATCACAATGATAATAACATCTTAATGAAAAAGATAATTTTCTTTCAACAATCACGGGATAAGGAATAGTAACTTACATGTTGATTTCTTCTTTTAAAACATGCTGACAAGCACCATATATACGTGGTATCAAGATATTGATACCGGGTAAATCAACACGAAGTAAATCAATTGAATAGAATAACACTAAACATAAAATATAATCATTTTTAACCTGAAATCAAGTAAGAAAAGATGGGTAATGAAGAGAGAAAAAATAGTGTTTCTTCATGATGTTCCCATAGTAAAAAGATTCATAAAATTGAAAAAATTTATAATTATTTCATCGATTTAAATAGTAACAATAAAAACAAATGGTTAGTTGAATTCAATCCTTATGAATACAAATACATGCAATATAATATACACTGACATATTTCTAAATAAGCTTGAAATATATGAGTATATTTTCGTGAGTATCACTAAAATGTATCTCATTACCAAATAATAGTAATACGAGAATATATGTATGTAATTGTGAATAACTATGGTTTACATTCACAGAGAATTTATAGATGACTATCATGTGGTGCAAGTATTAACTAATTAATCACATGCTCAAATAGTAGATACATTTACGTAAAATGTTGTATGTGCAAAAATTACTTCAAATAGATTTCTTTTAAATTGAAGTGAATGCTTCTATATATATATATATATATATATATATATATATATATATATATATATATATATATATATATATATATATATATATATATATATATATATACCACAACACCTACTATTTGCATTCGATTAACAAATAAAGAGCATGACGTTTAAGAATATAAACGAAGGCGACGATAGTGTGGATAATTTAAATTTATTTAAGATAAGAAAACGGTTCTAATGATAAACTGATTAGCGATTTCCCAGTTAAATCAGTCAAGAACAGAAACACCATTGATCATTCAATTAAAACTGCCTCGAAATCACATATACAAATGTAAGTTTTATTGATTTATTTCTACTCAAATACTGTCATTTATTTATTCATTTATTATTATTACTAATATTGATGCAATCTATGCTAAATTTTAATATTTTCGTTCATTACTTATATTCAATAATATGAAAACTGTTTTCACTGTGGGCTGAAATCAATTTGAAGCTGACTGGAAATTAGCAGTATACACTCTTGACTCTAAAATAAATTAAAAACCAAACTTTAAGGTTGTACAGATATCAATGTTTAGTTGAACAAGCAAAAAAGATAGCCCGAATTCTTTAGTTTTATAAAATACCATGAGTATAATCTTACACTACAGTCACTTCTCATAAGTTGAACCTAAGATCAAACCAGTGAATCTCAAATGTTTAACTAATCCTACATAAAAATATCAATCTAATCTTAAAATGTTTATCTGTTTGTAATGCAGACGCTAACTATGAAAGTCTTAAATTGTCAATAAACATGAAATTCATAGAAGAATAAGGTTACCGTTTTTAAAAAATTCATGATCATAAACCTATCTAATATAAATTAATTACACCACTATCAAGTTAGTACAACTGAGTAGCATAAGATAAATAAACAATTTCTATGCACAGCATTATCCTTATTATTACTATTAAGATGTTATTTTCATTCATATCATAAACTAACCGTTGGATCAACAACCAATGCATAATAAAGACATAAATAAAATCGTGTAAGATATTCCTCTGCTAAACGACCACGTTGAGCGTAGATCATTATTCGACATAGTATTCCAAGAGCTTCAGCACGACCAACTAGAAAACGATTACTATCAATTAATGCAGCTCGATGACTGATCACAGTAACTGAAAGAAAATATAGTTCAATAATAAGAAGAAATAAAACTGAGTACCTTAGAAATGACATAATACATTAACATATCATATGAAACGAAAGTTAATCAACTTATTTTAAGAAATAACGAAAGAAGTGAAAAATACTTTTTCTCTCTGTTCAAATGCTTTGCTCATTCTTGGTTGGAATAAAATAACTTACTCGGCTACAACCTTAACAAAACAATAGTAAACATCCTGAAGACTTTATATTTCATTGGTAGCTTTTTGAAATAAACTGTTAAAAATAAACACAAGTATCATTATAGGTAAGGTAGATATAAGTTATTATAAAAACACTAAGTAAACTAGTACGTGACGACGGTAACAACAACAATGAAAGCGAAAGTAAATGCTGTTAAACCGAAACCAATAAAGTGCTTGTGCAGGAAGTAAGACACCATAGAAAGAGGCAAAGATATCAACATACAATGTTGTACAAAGATAAACAGCACCCATTTTTAAAACTTTAAAGCAGTACACCAAGACAGAAATCAATCAAAATGGAAAGATATTAAACTAGACGTGGTCAAATATGGGCTTAGAAAGGAATATAAAAGAATCGTAAAAGGCTTGACATTACTTACTTGCGCCTGTTACTCCTCGTGAAGGAGCATAGGCCGCCCATAAGCACTCTCCATTCAACCCTGTCCTGGGCAATCCTTTCCAGCTCTTTCAAGTTGCTATTCATCCTTTTCATATCTACTCCCATTTCCCGAAGTAATGTGTTCTTTGGAATTCCTCTTTTCCGCTTCCCTTCAGGATTTCAAGTTAGCGCTTGCCTCGTAATGCAGTTTGATGATCTCCTCAATGTGTGTCCTATCCATTTCCATCGTCTTTTTCTAATTTCCTCTTCAGCTGGAAGCGGGTTGGTTCTCTCCCACAGTAGGCTGTTGCTGATGGTATCCGGCCAATGGATGTTGAATATCTTGCGTAGCCAGCTATTGATAAATACTTGTACCTTCTTAGTGGTGGCTGTTGTAGTTCTTCAAGTTTCAGCTCCGTACAGTAGAACTGCCTTGACGTTCGTATTGAAGATTCTGACTTTGATATTGGTTGAAAGTTGTTTTGAGTTCCATATGTTCGTAAATTGAAGGAATGCTGTCCTTGATTTTCCGATCCTCGCCTTTACGTCTACATTCGATCCTCTTTGTCCATCGATAATGCTTCCCAGGTACGCAAAGGATTCCACATCCTCCAGAGTTTCACCATCAAGAGTGATTGGATTGCTGTTCTCCGTGTTGTGTTTGAGGACCTTGGTTTTCCCTTTGTGTATGTTGAGGCCTACTGATGCAGAGACTGCTGCTATGCTGGCTGTCTTTATCTGCATTTGTTCGTGTGTATGTGATAGGAGGGATAGGTCATCTGCGAAGTCCAAGTCGTCTAATTTTTTCGGAGCTGTCCATTGTATGCCGTGGTTTCCCTCAGATGTCGAGGTCTTCATAATCCAGTCGACCACCAGAAGAAAGAGGAAGGGAGAGAGTAGGCAGCCTTGTCTTACTCCGGTTCTTACTTGGAATGCGTCTGTCAGCTGTCCTCCATGCACTACTTTACGCTGTAGTCCGTCGTATGAGTTCCGGATAATATTGACAATCTTCTTAGGAACTCCGTAGTGTCGAAGAAGTTTCCATAACGTTCTCCTATTTACACCGTCAAATGCCTTCTCATAATCAATGAAGTTGATGTACGGTGACGAGTTCCATTCAATTGATTGTTCGACGATGATCCGTAGTGTTGCAATCTGGTCTGTGCACGACCGGTCCTTGCGGAATCCAGCTTGTTGATCTCGAAGTTGAGCGTCTACTGTGTCTTTCATGCTGTTCAGTAACACTCTGTTAAATACTTTTCCTGGTATTGACAGTAGTGTAATGCCTCTGTAATTTTCACACTTGCTCAGATATCTTTTCTTTGGAATCTTGATGAGGTGTCCTTCTTTCCAGTCCATCGGCACTTGTTCCTCCTCCCAAATCTTCTTGAATAGAAGATGAAGCATGCTTGTAGTTACTTCGATGTCTGACTTCAGTGTTTCAGCTGGTATATTGTCGGGTCCTGCTGCTTTCCCGCTCTTGATTTGTCTGATGGCCATTCTGATTTCTTCAGTCGTTGGTGGATTGAAATCTATAGGAAGATCTGTGTGTGTTGCTTCGATATCCGGTGGATTCATTGGAGCCGGCCTGTTCAGGAGTTCCTCGAAGTACTCTGCCCATCTGTTCCTCTGTTGTTGAATCTCAGTGATTGGTCTTCCTTCTTTGTCTTTGACTGGTCTCTCTGGTTTACTGTATTTTCCTGCTAGCTTCTTCGTTGCATCGTAAAGCTGTTTCATATTTCCTTCTCTTGCAGCTTTCTCCGCCGTCGTTGCTAGTTCTTCCACGTACTTCTGCTTGTCAGCTCTAATGCTCTTCTTCACTTTCTTGTTTGCTTCTATATACTCAGCTTGTGCTTGGACTTTCTCTACTCGTGTTCGACTGTTGTTAATTGCTGTCTTCTTGTTCTTTCTTTCTTTGATCCTGTCCAGTGTTTCTATAGAGATCCATTCCTTGTGATGATGTTTCTTACGGCCCAGAACCTCTTGACACATTGAGGTTAATGCTTCTTTGACACCTTTCCAGTTATCCTCCATAGTATTTTCTTCTTCCTTCAGTAGATCCTGTAAGGCTTGGAACCTGTTGTTGAGGGCTATCTTGAATTCGTTGAGTTTGTTAGTATCTTGATGAAAGGCTGTATTGAATCTTTGTGGTGCTGTTCGTTCAGTTCTTCTTTAGCTTCAATTTTAAATTGGCCACAACCAGGTGGTGATCTGAAGCTATATCCGCTTCTCTCCTGGTTCTCACATCTTCCATTGTCCTTCGGAACTTTTTATTGATGCAAATATGATCTATCTGGTTCTCTGTGGTGTGGTCCGGTGAGATCCATGTAGCTTTGTGTATACGTTTGTGTGGAAATATTGTACCGCCTATGACCAATTTGTTGAATGCACACAGATTTGCAAATCTTTCTCCGTTTCCATTCCTCTCTCCCAGTCCGTGTCGTCCCATGATGTCTTCATATCCGGTGTTGTCCATTCCAACTTTAGCCTTTAGATCTCCCATCAGAGTGGTGAGGTCCTTTCTTAAAAGGCTTGACATAGAGTACATAATAGAGTTGATTAAATCCAAACATCGCCACTGACTTTCAATTATATTGACCATGCCACTTATCACTGGTTTATCTTATCCTGAAAACATCCTATAAGTCTTGATTTATTTGAGTAATTTAGACAAACAGTTCATCATTAGCTCTTATCAACCTAATCAGTTTAGTGAGCATTGCAAGTAAAAGTAGACAACGACTTGACGGGAGATACATACGACCAATCTGCTTCAGTCAGTGAAAATTAACAGCCACATAGTTTGAATTATTCTTATTGTTCACAACTTTCAATGTATGTTCAACACATATAAAGTGGTACATGATAGTCTACAAGCTGTTTGGTTAGCCAAAACTGAAGAATACCAAGTCGTCTTATACATTTCAGCTAAAATTCGATTAGCGACCAGTAGTGACCTATCTTCCGAAATGAGCAAAGTCGCGAAACTCATTTAAAAGATTTTTAGTTCTTCATTTGAGGCAGACTCACCCTCACCCTCTCTCTCTCCATATATATATATCCTGGTATACACCATAAAATTACCATGAATATATCTTCAGGAAACAGTTTACTGTGAAATCATAAAGTGATATGAATAGTTACTTTTGATAGGATTTTTTTGCAAACTATATGTTTAGGTACTATAATTTGAATATGCTCAAGGTTGTTAAACACAAGACGATATATAGTCAATTCTTTAAAAATTACACTGATACTGTCAGAAACAATGAACGGAAGTTTCCGTTAACTTAGTCGTCTCATTTCTATCTATAAAACACCTACAAAGACAATTCCTTCTGAGTATATTTCAGGTAATATTAAGTAACGACTGCAGTAGTAGTATTTTAACAGAAAATGAAACAATAATAACAATATGAATAGTCAGGAATCACATTATTAATGGGATAATTTAAAAAGAAAACGCCTACAGCAAGAAGTTCTTTAGGTATTATTTGCTAAACAACTTGCAAAATAAGGTTGTAGCTTTGATGCCTCTTATCAGAATACTCAGTATTATATGGTATTTATAAAAATATTTTAGAATATCTCAATGATATCGTTTGATTACGATACAGTGAGACATGAGTTCTAATCACAAAGGGGAATGTCAGAATCTTAGGGGTTACAAATACTACTTACTGACAATTGCCAAATAGAATGTAACCTGGATCATCTACAACCCACTGACTGTTAACACCATCTTCCCTAACTTCAAATAAAGTAAACTGTAATGCTGAGTCACTTAGACTGCTATAAGGTCATATTGTGACTTAACTGAGAGAATTCCATCAAAAAGAAGCATTAGACAACATGAAACTAATTACTACCAAGTAATTAATGAGTATAAACAATTAATCTGTCAAAACAAATTATTAACTACGTTTTGTATTCACTAATTAGTGAATAAGTTTAACAAGCCGTATTTTTCTATCTCACTCCTACTAATATTGATAGTGATCAATAGGATTTAAGCGAGACTCAGCTCTTCAATGACTTATCATTCACTTTAGACATAACAATTCATAAACTAATTCTCGCGTAGATAATTTAATTACTGATGTATTAAAGTAACGTAATAACAAACTTATCAGTGATTGAACTCTACAATTTTATAACTGTCAGTTACGTCATAAAATACAGACGTACATATTTAATTGAGGAAAAAGAAACGAAATTATCTAACAAGAAGAAATTGGTGATTGAACCAATTATCAGTTAACGATGTTAACGCACTAAATTTTTTTAAAAAACACGAGCATGGTGAGTGAGTAAACAAAATTGAGATTATGACGAATACTGAATTATCATGCACAGGCAGAAAAATACTTGTCATAAAATGAGAGAA